AAAAGTCCCTAGTGACCCATGCCTTACTGTTTGCCCTCCACAGCACACACAAATTCTCCTTGAGGACATTCTTTTGCCTGAACGGTCTGGGAGTTTCAGAGTGATACACTAATAAAGGCTTCACTTTGCAATCACCAGTAGCATTGGAACACATCAACAAAGTAAGCCTGTCTTTCATAGGCTTATGTCCTGGGAGTGCCTTTTCCTCCTGAGTAATGTAGGTCCTGCTTGGCATTTTCTTCCAAAACAGGCCTGTTTCATCACAATTAAACACTTGTTCAGGTTTCAGTCCTTCACTGTCTATGTACTCCTTGAATTCCTGCACATATTTTTCAGCTGCTTTGTGGTCCGAACTGGCAGCCTCACCATGCCTTATCACACTATGTATGCCACTACGCTTCTTAAATCTCTCAAACCAACCTTTGCTGGCCTTAAATTCACTCACATCATCACTAGTTGCAGGCATTTTTTTAATTAAATCCTCATGCAACTTCCTAGCCTTTTTGCTTATGATCGCTTGAGAGACGCTATCTCCTGCTAGCTGTTTTTCATTTATCCACACCAATAAGAGTCTCTCAACATCTTCCATCACTTGCGATCTCTGTTTCGAAAACACAGTTAAACCTTTGGCAAGAACAGCTTCCTTGATTGCCTTTCTGTTGCCCACAATAGTAGCGATGGTTGATTTGGGTTTCTTGTACAACCTGGCCAGGTCGGCGACACGCACTCCACTTTCATACTTATCAATGATCTCTTTCTTCATCTCTATAGTAATTCTCACCCTTATTGCTGTAGGGTTGGCACTAGAAGCTTTCTTGGGGCCCATGGTCACTTATTTTGCAGATAAAATCACCAAAAACACTATAATACGAAATGTTCCGATTGTATGCTTGGATGTTACCGCGGAGGCTGGCTGGTAAACAATGCCACCGGCGGCACATGTGAGGCTGGCTAAGGGCGCACATTGGACGCGTCTTGGACGAACAGCGGTGAGCGGGTTTTTGAGCGGTATGCGAGGCAAAATTTTTGCGATAAAAGCGAGCGGTATGCGGATTGAACGTTATGTGATGCCGACGGTATGCAGGGGTCCACTGTATAGTGACATCACACATCCCTGCCAAATGCCTTTACTGCTTTTTTATAACGTTCCACCTAGTCAGTATATTGTCAACATCTGCCACATTGCTTCCCTATCAACTCTGGCATATGCTTTTATGAATTCATAAATGCAGCAAAAGGTTCCATACCTTTTTCTAAGTATTGTTCACTTTTATGCTTCTTTGTAAATACTTGACCCCTACCTCTCCTAAATCCTCTTTGTTCCTCTGCAATTGTACTTTCTGTATTACCCTAGTTATTTCAATAATAATTGTTCTATCAAACACTTTACCCAGTTTACTGAGCAACATTATTCTTCTATAATTTTTACACTTTTTTTTTATCCTCTTTTTCTTTTTGCAAAGAATCCATGCATGTTCTCTGCTAATCCATAGAAACCTCTTTCCCCTTTTATGTATATGTTAAACAAATACACCAACCACTGTAAAACTTTCAGCACTTGCTTTAACATTTCTATCTTGATCCCATCTATCCCAGCTGCTTTACCCTCTTTCATTCTATCCACTGCCACACACACACACTCCCCACACTCACATCTGGCTCTTCTTTACTCCTGTAACATGTTATACATCCTTGCTTGATACTGTACATGAAATCAATCTTTCTTTCTTCATCAGCATATAACAGCTCCTCAAAATATTCCCTCAATTTTTTCAGTATCTCCACCTCCCCGTCTAATAGCTTTCCTCTTTTGTTTTTAACTTCTAAATCCATTTGTTCCCTTGGCCTTTTTTACTTATTTAGCTCACTCCAAAGTTCTTTCTTCTTCTTGGCAAAATTTGTTGATAAAACCTCACTCACAATCTCACTGGCTCTCCTTTTGCTCTCCCTCACCATCATTATAAAAAGCTTTCATATGCTAACTTTCTCTTTCTTACCAGTCTCTTTACTTCATGATTCCACCAATCTATTCCCTTCCCTCTGACACTCACCCTTTTATACGAAAAAACTTCTGGTGCTGTATACACTAACACTGCATTCTTAAATCTACCCCATACTTCTTCAGTCTCCCTCTTTCTAGCTTACCTTCATCCCAATAGTTGCTTATACCTTACCTTGTCTCCTCTAATTAATCAACTTTCACTTCACTCTCACTTCACTTCATAACCTTATAATTATAACCTTACATAAGCAACATTACTTTATTACTCTAATGCATTTCTTGTTGTTGTTTTTGTATCCCTTCCAGAATTCTCTCTTTTCTCAGATGCCTCAACACTAATGCATTCCCGCTATAGTTTAGCCCCAGATATATCATTCCTTAAATGTGCTATTATTTTAAGCTAAATTAAAATTGAAATTATTTATTTCTTAACCCTTTCAGGGTCGGCAGGCCCTCTCCTAAACTTGTTCTCAAGGTCGGAAATTTTTTAAAAAAGAAAAAAAAAATTCTTATGAAATGATAGAGAATCTTTTCCCGATCATAATGACACCAAAAGTATGGAATTTGATGGAAAACTTACAGAATTATGCTCTTGTGAAGTTAGCGGTCTCGACAATGTTTACGCATCGGCGATTTTGCCCACTTTGAGCCCTATTTTCGGCCAGTTCCAATGTACCAGTCGACAAATATCATACCTATTTTGCTAGAACTCCATTTTTTCTATCGAATGAGTACAAGAAACCACCTATTTACTGATTTCAACAATCCAATAAAGTGGTCAGAATTTAGCAATTTTGCCAATTTCACACAAATTTCAAAAGATGCCAATTTCCAAATAGGGTCCAGAATAAACAAGACAGACATTCCTGGCACTAAAATAACATTTCCTCTGTTCATTACTCACTTCCCCAGGCCTCTGTTACATTTCTTTTGCTTTCCACTTTGAATTTTTATTCTCACAAAAAATAGAAGAGTTATGTTATGCAGACTACTGCATTAGTGTAGAAATGGTATAAATAATATCAGTGCACTTGTGAAAGAATATTAGACTCACCAGTTGACGTGTATTAGACGCATGGCATGATTCGTTTACCTTTAAACTTTAGCAAAAATCGAGCATTTCTCCTGCTTTGAGCTCAATTTCAAGGTACTTTTCATTGTGAAACCAATCAAAATCATCTCACTTTCTGTAATATGTCTTCCATTCTATAAAATGAGACCAGGAAAACTAGAATACAACCACAAATAGCATGCAAAAATACACTGCAAATTCGCTGTTTTAAACCAAAAACACGGTTGGAGTTTTTTTTTTTTCCTCATTATGCACTGTGTGCTGCAGGATTTTTTTTATACTGTGCACACTGACCACATAGACCCATTCTTTCATATGTAGGCCTATTTAATCTACACAAAAAAAAATAATTTTTGTTAATACTTTTGGGTGTCGGGAACGAATTAATTGGATTTATATTATTTCTTATGGGGAAAATGGTTTCAAGTTTCGTGAATTTCAACTTTCGGTAGACTCTGGAACGGATTAATCACGAAACTTGGGGGTCCGCAGTATGTCACCACAAATGTGTTCACTGGCTTTCCCACCTGCAGATTTCTGGTGTTTCTTATGGGTGTCATTATTAAGCAGATTATTCTGGGTTCATCTTTAACATTTTTTTACACATGTACTGAAATTGCATTTTTATATATATACTATAAGTCTTGGGTTAGGTTTTAATTCTAGTGTGTCCAAAATGTTCTGCATAATTTATGAGCTTTCCATATTTGCTATTATATGCCATCCAGTTTTGTTAAAACTAATGTATCACATGGAAATAAAGTATTTATTTTATTTACTTACTAATGTGATATTTTGAAGATAAGCCTCTGAAACACAACATGAGCCTAAATCTAAAACAAAATTTATTAAGCAGTTATAGTTTTGTATTACATTATTCACAAGTTCTACAGAACAAAAGGCACAACATCGTGAGTGGAAAAATACACAAATAACCTGCACTTGGACCATTTACAAAGTCACAGTGTGACTTTGTAAATGGTCCAAGTCAGACCGAAGCATCGCCGTAAGTTCCTCTCTCCTATGTGCAGGTTATTTGTGTATTCACAAGTTCTAGTTTTGAGGACATTAGAATTAGTTTGCCTGAAATGCATTACAATCTAGTGGTTTTCTTTTGTTCCTAATAATGTTTTATTACTTGTAAACTACATTATTTGTACTGCATAAAGAAATAAAAATTGTAATGTATTGTATCAGGGAATGATACATTCTTGAAATTGGGGACTTGATCAACCTATTACTGATTTGAGTTAATAGTTTCTAAGTTATGTGATTTGATAAATATAAATCCCTTTTTTTCTCTCTAATTTCTGTTATTATTGACAAAGATACAGTGGACCCCCACTTAACGATCACCTCCCAATGCAACCAATTATGTAAGTGTATTTATGTAAGTGCGTTTGTACGTGTATGTTTGGGGGTCTGAAATGGACTAATCTACTTCACAATATTCCTTATGGGAACAAATTCGGTCAGTACTGGCACCTGAACATACTTCTGGAATGAAAAAATATCGTTAACCGGGGGTCCACTGTACTTTATATTCTAACAAGAAATATTCAGTTCTCTTGTTAGCCAAGTTTTCTAAATATTGATGCATGACAGACCACATATTTTGAAATTTGATGTAATACAATGAGAGACGATAAAGATGTTCATATTATTTTTGTTACTGCAGTAAAATGTGGCTTAATGGTCTTATTGTATCCCAGTCATGTTTATCTTCACAATGAATTTGGCCATATTCCGTAAATGTATATTAACAGAATAACTTTTATTTTATTTTCAGATTTATTTTATACTTTATATTTTATGTTTATACCAGAGTTTTGTATCTGAGACAGGAAATGAGACGAGCGGTCCCAGGGTACACAAATGCATGACTATGCGGAATGTGTTGTGATCATTTATTGTGCTGTGTTTCAGAGCGAACAGAGTGGATTGACGAGTCAGTGACTGGATGTGAGTAAGATTCTCCCATATATGTCAAGTGTCTGAGATGTGCAATTTTTCTGCTGGGGTGATATGGTGCTGTCATGTTATGTGTTCACTGTGGGTTCTGCCATCACTTGAGTGAAGTCTATAATGTAGTACAGTACTAAAAATGATGCCTCTGTGAATTACAGTATATTCTTTTGCAGTGGATATATATATATTTATGTATTTATACTATATATCTGTTTATACATCTGTATAATGCTCTAACCTATTTCCTATTTGAACTTTCACATGATGGTATCATATTTGCATTTCTTCTCCAACAGAATATTGTCTATGATTTACATTCATATTCCATAGATAATTTCTGCTGTGTTTGCTGTGGTGTTGTAGCTGTTCCTAGAAAGAGTATAATTTAACTTTACAGTAGTTTCAGTGAACAAAACATGGCAGGTAGATGCTTCAGCTAAAAAAAGGTATTAGATCATAATGATACTGAATCATGTATCACAAATGCATGACTTACGTTCTGGTGATGGAATGATTATCATATTTATTATTGTGATCTATAGTGCATTTCATTATTTTAGAAGGTTTTATCACTACTGTGGGTCCTGTTTATAGGGGTAGATGTATACTAAGCACCTTAATACCAGTTGAGTAATTAGTGCCTTCCTTGGGGTTGCTAGAAACAGCATTTTTGAGACTGCAAACCATTGTGTACCTTGTAATATATTGCATGTATAAATACTATATAGTGTATATAAAAAACTATTTATGTTGAAGTTGGTTAATTAAGATTATAGCAAAATCCTAGAATAATGGACTTCAGTACTTAATGGAAGATTTTTTTCATATATGATAACTAGAATTGAAATAATTACCTGCTTCTGTAGAATCTAGTAGTGTATTCTGCACTTCCTCATTGATCTCTGAATGCTCAAATTCTAATGTATTACCATAGTATCATGCTACAGTAGCTTGGAAAGCCTTTGCTGTCACATTGCTGACTTTTTTTTGACAGTATTCAATGTATGATATCAGCAAACCCTCACTATAACAAACCTCAGTATAATGGACAACAATATAATAAACTTTTGAAATAGTGGGCAGAATCCACTAGTTGTACTTTTATTTCATAGATTTTCAGTGTTTATTAAAGTTCACCTGTAAATTGTGTATACCGTATTATGTTAGGTATACATGTACAGTACATACTTAAGTGCCTTTTTTTGCTATTATTTTTAACATCAATCATATATAATGGACACTCAGATAGTTACAGTCCCCTTATATAAAGTTTTAAAGCAAGTTGTAAATGGCTTCTCATATCCTAGTATAATATTTATGAAATAAAGCATTACATAACAGCCTTTAAAATATGAAAAATATACCAGTTAATTCATATTTTAATAATAATGTTGAGAAATGTACTATAAGTATTGTGAAATTGCTCTATTATCATTTTTTTAATTCATAAAGCATAATTTTTTCCATCAGATTCAAGTTTAGATATTTATTTATAAAATTACTATAGAAATAGTCATTGGATATTGTAGGCAGACTATACAAATTTTAATGTTCTTATCAATTCCATATTACGTTCAACATTTCCAGCAAGATTTCATCTATTAGTACGTATATAAGTATGAAAATATACCATAATAAGTATGAAAATATACCGTAGTGAGAAACTAATGAAATAGAAATAGCCAAGTGCTGTCATATATTTACATACCTTCTTTAGGGAATTGTGTAGCTGAATCATAATTGGTTCTGTTGTTTTTTTAATTGTTAATTTAAAAACAGTTTCCTCCCCTTATGCTAAAATTGGTAAAAACAAAAGTGAAATGAAAGTATAAGCAAATACTAAGGTTTTTCATTTCATATAAAATATTAAGGTTTTTCTCAATTTTTTCCTTTAAAATGCAGTTTAGAAGAAGTTTTAATAAACAAATTTAACTGTTTAAGTAAATGAGCAATTAGGAAAACTGTTCTTCTTTCCAGTCAATGCATTATTCTAGGATTATATAGTGGTAATCCTGTAAAATATATCTGCTTAGAAAATAATACACCATTACACATGTAGTTGATTTGATGGCCTTATTTGCTAATAAAATAACTTTTTATTTTTTTTTTAAGCATATTTGGTGTTGGGAAATGTCTTGTAATGGCTTACCTGCTTTTGGGATGAAGCGACGCATTGCCAACAAGTATAAAGATTGTCACAAGTTGCAGGACAATGTCTTATTAGGATGACATTTTGCTCTGTGTAGAGCTTTATCCGATCATGACTTGATGAAGCTCTACACATAGCTAACTGTCGTCTCAGTAGTTCATGTTCTACAACCTCTGTCTTTGTCTTTGTACCTGCTTTCATCAATGCAATATTTTACTTTGGAAATTTTACACTTGTTCATAGTTACATACTGTATATCATTATTTGAGTTAAACAATGCTTGATTTTTGTGTTTTATTTTGAGTTATTTTGGTCATATATGAGCTTCCTTGATGCATAAAGCATAGAAAGTTCAGGTTACATACATTTCTCAGTTCACTATTTTTCACTTGTATTTTATTATTTAGGATTAAGAATAATTATCAGTAGTTTAAAATAATCTTAAAATAAAATATTATAGTTACTAAATCTCATTGAAGAATAAGCCACCATACTGTACCATAGTTCAAATAATTCACACTAATGCGCAATCTGAAGAGGAAACATGAGATGCCGTTTCAGTCTATTGTGGGCTTTAGCGGTGGGTCATCATGTGACTGAGACCACGTCAGGAATCACTGGCCCTGTTTCCTTACAAACCTTACCTAACCTAGCTTATTCTGGGCTATTATCAAATTACTACTTGATAAAGATCCAGGAGTTCTATCTCCATGACATTCTCTTGCATAGACAATTCATATTTGTATACAATAATTGTAGTTGCAGTTTGCACAATATCTTAGAAGGAATGAGATTATGGATTCTGAAGTCTTGCCTTCAGCCTTTAATTATTTCTGTTCATATTCAAGAATTTACTTTAAGTCTTTACTAAGTGCAGTGTAGTGCCCTAAATGCCTAGCCATGCTAGGTGTTCTAGTGGTACACTCTGTAATCATTATTTTACTACATGTAAACCACACAATAACCAAATTCTGTAAACTCAGCATTGTAATCCTTATAGAGAATAAACTTTGAATTGAATTGAATTGAAATGAAGTACAGTATTTCAAGTTATACGAGTCAATTCGAGTGAGTAGAATGTATGCGAGATGAAATTAAACATTAAAAAATATCTTTAAATGAAGAACGTAGTTTAGGAATATAATTTGGCTACAGTACCAAGAATAAGCTTGAGCAAGACAGAAAATCCAAACGAGAGAAACGTACACGCACTTCAGAAAAGTAAACAGTACATGTACTCCTCACTTAACAATTGAGTTAAGTTCCTAAGAGTAGGTCAGTAAGCGAATTGGTCATTGAATGAGGAGCTGCCCCTTACTGATGTTTCAAGCATATTGTACTGGTAGTAGGTTTGTGTCAACCATCTTTAGATATTGTAAGTCACGTTTGCACTATTTATAACATTTTTAGTATGTTAAAAATAGAAGTAAGCATTGAAAACAATAAATAAGTAAAACACACATACAGTACACTCATTACTTACCTTAAAATATCTGTAGTCTTAATGTAGGGTGAGAGGTGAGTATTGTAGAAAGAGGAAGAATAAGAAGAGCAAAGAACAGAAATACACAATGGGCTCACTGTAAAGGGGTTAGCAATGCATCTCAGCAATCTCCAAGACTACACATTTCGTCAGTAAATTTGTACTTTGGTGTGCACCCCATAGTACAAGATAGAGTTAGAATTGAAACAACACTTGGAAAAGGAAAAACAAGAGGAAAATGAAATAAGTAGAAAAGAAGTTCACTGTAAAGGGGTAAGCTGGTGTGTTCATCTGTGTGTTTATATTCTTGGCATCTCTCGTGGCATCTAAGAGTAGGTGTTAGAAGTGATTAAACTCAGTGAACAGTGTATGACAATGGTAATAATAGTCACTCTGGAGTACTTTAACCCTATTACTGTTGAGACCCCTGTTCACAAACTTGCTTTCAATGTCGAAGAATTTAAAAAAAAAAAAAATTACATTCTCTTTTGAAATGATAGAGAATCTTTTCCTGATGGTAATGATACCAAAAGGATAAAATTTGATGGAAAACTTATGGAATTACTCTCTTGTGAAGTTAGCAGTCTTGGCGATGTTTACGCATCGGTGATTTCGCCCACTTTGAGACCTATTTTTGGTCAGTTCTATTGTTCCAGTCAGCCAAACTCATAGCTGTTTTGCTAGAACTCCATTTGTCCTATTGATTGAGTACAAGAAACCACCCATTTACCAATTTCAACTACCCAATAAAGTGATCAGAAATTGGTAATTTTGCCAATTTCATACACAATTCGAGTAAGGCCATTTTCAAAATAGGGTCCAGAATTTAAGAATACAAACATTTCTATCACTAAAATAATATTTCTTTGTTCATTAGTCACGTCTTCAGCCCCTCTTATATTATGCTTGCTTTTCATTTTGAATTTTTATTCGCACAAAAAAATTGAAAACTTACTGTTATTCAGACTACTTCATAATTGTAATAATTGTATGAATAATATCAGTGCATTCGTGAGTGCATATTAGAGCAGTCGGTTCATGTGTATTGGATGCGTGATGTGAATTGTTTACTCTTGATCATCAGCAAAAATCGAATATTTCTGCTACTTTGAGCTCAATTTCAAGCTACTTTTATTCTGTAAACCATTCAGAATCATCTCTATTTTTGTAATATATCCTCTATTCTATCAAATGATACCAAGAAAATGAGAATACAACCATAGATACCAGATGAAAATACACTGCTAAGTTGCTGTTTTAAACCAGTTTTTTTCTCATTATGCACTGTGTGCTACAGGATTTTTTTATACTGTGCACACTGACCACACAGACCCGTTCTCTCACATGAGGCCTACCAGATTT